TGAGTCCACGCCCAAAAGTTGATTGTCCCGAAATGCATCATCCCTTAGTCAACCCCTTTGAGCCTTGTGACTCCGTGGGTCGTTCTCAATTTAGGAGCTTCGTTCGTGTGAGCTTAAAGGTGTTAGTAGAAAGACCCCCCAAATCCTTTCTTTGTGTCTAAACATGAGTTATCTGTGTGCCCCGAAGATCTTACCGTTGAGTTTCCACTTTCCATAAAGGTTCTACATAGGAGGTTTGTGTGTGGTTCTTGCTAGGAATGCAAAATGGAGTGTAGTGTTGGAGTTAGTTCCTCAAAAAGAGAGCATTGGTTGATAAATGTTTAGGTGACAAGTTTTTTTACTCTCTAATACCCCCTCAAAAAGACAAAAGAAAAATAAAAATAAAAAAAGAGAAAAGAGAAATGAAAAAAGGTAATAAAATGGGGTAAATAGAGATGAGAGTGCCACGAAAAACCAAAGTACATGCTCTAGGTGGGGTTTCTTGGCACCCAAGCCATCGAAACCCCCCATATTGTTTAGAACTCCTTCACTACCAAACCTTAAAGAACTAGCAAGAGTTGACAGAGGAAGAGTGCTCCAAGGTAGTTCGTGATGGGTGATAGTTGGAAGGAGAGATAAGGGTTTTGGCGATGCTAGGGGCCTTTGATTGAAGAGAAGGGTTTAGTCGAAACCATAGACCCTTCGGGTTTAGGTTGAAGATGTAGAACCTCACGTCATGATTGCCACCACCCAAAAACCCTTTTCCCCATGTCCAAGCCAATCGCCAGTCATCTGAACCCGTGTCTAAGACCTCCGGACGAGCTAGTGGAGACAACCATCCCGTGAACTCTAGCATTTAGAGGTTACCTCCGTGGTATTGAGGCGATAGGGCCGAGAGGTTACGATTGTGCACTTCTTTTGCACCAAAAAGGTCCCGACCCCACTAGTCTTGAGAGTGAGTGATCCATTCTTGTTTTACTTACCATTTCATACCCCAGTGAGAATCTACGTTGCCTTCCATTTGTCCCTCGGACTTGAATTCCATGCATGGTTGGTTGTGATCGATAAGTGGTTGTGTTGAGGCTTGCATTTATCCATGAATAAGTTGAGAACTTTTCGTTTGCCCGTTTTGGTGGCTTTGAATGTCGTTTATGGTGGATGTCGGTATTGCTTGCAACGGTTCATGTGTTGATTGTCAATAAACATCGAGAATTCCTGCTTCTTGTCCTTTGACTTGTCCCCAAAGCATTTGTGTAGATTCAAATATTACCGTGTGCGTGAAATGGTTTGCTTGGGGACAAGCAAACGTCTAAGTGTGGGGGAGTGATTCGGGCCTAATTGCACATGTTTTACCCCTGTTTAATTAGATGTTTGTGCCAAATTCGCTCCTTAAAGGTCGGTTTTACGCTAGGTTCTTCGTGTTTGAGTGTGTTTCAGGATTTAACAGGTGAAACCAGCCTCGGAGTCAAAAGATTGGCAAAAAGGATCGAAACCCGGGAAAAGAGGTGAAAAAGCGCCAGTTCACGGTTAACTGAAGGAGTTCACGGTCATGCAAGACCATGAAGAAGGGGACTTGACCGTGAATCGCGAGGCGTCCAGAGCCAATGTGAAGGTTACTGACGCAAGGTGAGTTCACGGTCCCCAAGACCGTGAACACAAGCAGTTTCTCGTGAACGGACATGAGTGATGCGGAGCGTTTTGGTGCACGCCTTGAGTTCACGAACGCGTTTGATGGTTCACGTCTGTGAACTCAGATCGTGAACTTAGCTCTTCACGAGTTTAAAAGCTGAGTTGAAAGGAGGAGAGAGGGGAGAGCCCACTTTTGTGAGAAACACCTTCTTCGGCATTCTAGTGAGAGAAACAGAACCAAAGGGAAGAAGAAGGTTAGGGTTTTGCTTCAAGGCAGATTTTTTGGAAGATTTTCCCAAGGAAAGCTCAACTCAAGGGTCAAGAAGAGAGGAGGCATCCCCAAAGATGGTTTCCACCTTTTTCCCTTTTGTTCTTCCCACTTCTACCATGGAGTAGACCTCCTTTCACTTGTGTGTAGTGAAACCCTAACTCTACCATGTAGTTTTCTTGTATGTGGTTTGGATGATTGTTATTGGGTATTGTTCAATTAAATGTTTGAGGCATTATTAACCATGATTGTGCATGCTTGTGCTTAGCAACTTAGCGGTTGTGCATGTTTTGTGATTAGCATCCTAGGGATTGTGCATAATTGTGCTTAGCACCCCTAAGTTTGTGCATTTAGGTGCTAGTAATCTAATTTGCCACCTTAGCCTAGTTTGGAGAGAAAAATCCCCCTTTCAAGGTAGACTCATTTGACTTGGTTTTCCTTCCGCTTTCTATGCCACCTAAACTAGGTTGAGTTAGCGAAACCCTCAATATTGAATTAAACAAGTCGATTAATCATGGTTAAACCGTCCGACCTGATAGTTGAGTGACGGAGTAAGTCAACTACCGATTGTCTAAACCGAGAGGGTCGAGTGACACGGCCTTTCATTCTCACATCGGTTTAGCAATTGAGACTGTGGTCTCCGGCCACATATGCATTCCTCTGCGGTTCACGATTAACGTGCCCAAGGCAATCGTTCCAATCCACATAGCATGGTAGCGGTTAGGGGAAAGCGAAACTCGAGTGACTTTCCCACAAAAGAGTTTTCAAATCCAATCACCTTTGTTTTCTTTTACTTCAATTTAGCAAACCTTTTAAACCAAATTTTAGTTGCTAGATAATAGTTTCAACAATGCAAGTAGGGATAAATGGACCGGCCCGAGTCAATATCTAAATACTTGCCCTATACTGCACCCGATTAGAGTTTAAAAACTTGGGCTCTAATTGGAGTTTAATTGTGGACTTGTGGTGTAGTTTCGTGCGAGTCATGGATTAACCAATTCAGTAGCTTCTTGTTTAGTAAGTAATGTTCTTATAGGTAACACCAGTTCCAAATTATGATTCAAGTTCAATTACTATCAAAGACAATATGGCCCAACTCTATTTTTTTTTTGTCATACAAATTGCAGTTCCGCAAATGAATAATGACCAGACCATTACCACAGGAGAACCTGAATCACATTGGAGGAGAACGCACCTTCTGAGTTCTGATGTCACCTTCCCCTCAAGATTGACCGACTAGATAGATATAAATGAGACTTTCAGCTATTCCGAGTTCTGACGTCACCTTCCCACAAGTCAACAATCCCAGACTCACCATCCTAAGACATGAAAGAACAAAATGTTTAAACTTGCAACAACTTTTACGTGCGAAAAATATAGAACTCTAGTATTTATCAACTTCCAGAAATTCAATTGAAGCATCGACAACAATCCTTCTATAGATAAAACAAAAATTAATATATGAAATTGTTCTGGATATTGGCTAACCAAAAGAACCTTTTCCCATATACAGTTCAGTTCATTCAAATCCAGGTTGTCATAAGGGATGGAGGAACTAGGTGATGACAATTTCAGTTCCCCTACACGGACAATATAGCAGGAGCTAATTTAAATCAAACCAACTCAGCATATTCTCACACATACCACTATGATCCATTGTCAACATGCTCTCTTACCATTAAACTAAGACTAAGACACAAACATATACGACTATAAATTTTTTTTAAAGATATAATGACTTCAACTCAGATAATTTGATTTGTTTTTAATTCATTCAAGCATGGACTTTTATTTGAAAAAATTTCAATAACACTACCTCAGGAATTTAAAGGGAAGAGGAACAAATGAAGAAAGCTTTTTTTAGTGAATTGCTAGTAAAAACTATTCGTGCAAGTCTCTTTGCAGTGGAATTTGAAACCTTGCCTTGCTGCTTTAGAATAGTTCTATATGTTCCAAAAGGACATAAAGGAAACAAAATTTGTTTTCACTGTAGAATCACCAGTGGAAGAACTAAGACTGCGAAAAAAGTTGTAGAAGAAGAAAGCAAAATGTATCATCTGCATAAGAAGAAAGCAACAAAGAGGCCCAATTGAAACCCTAACCCCAGGTGGTGATGAAGAAAAATTGAAGAATACAATGAAAGAAACAAACCTAGAATTGATTCGAAGTGCTAGATAAAGGGAAATTACATTCATACCCAACCCCAGAGCTCTCGTCTTTAGATCGAAAGTTTTCCTCCAAGTGTGGTTGTCATTGCTGTCGGAAGGAGAAGGGAAACCAGGAAAGGACGCTTGAGGGTTCCAAAAAGGATAGCAATCCGTCAAATGAAATTGGGAAGTAGGAATGCGACTGAAAGGAGCAGAATTGAGGAGAGCTTACTTTGCGTTTTGTAATGATGGAGGTGTAGCATTCAACGATGGAGGTCGCTGACTGAGACTGGAGCCAATTAGAGGGGAATTGCTGGCAGTTGGTGTTTGAAAGTTTGAGAGGAGCGGCAAATTTGGCAGCAGCCTCTCTCCCTGACACTTTTTCTTGTTCGAGCGACGCGGGAATGGAAGACAACAGCAAGCTTCACGACCAGTTGTCCTAATTGGGTTGAGAAGCATGAATCAGGCCCATAAAGACACAACAGCCAGTCTAATAATTTTTCCCGTCCCCCCAAAATGCCCCTCCGCAAAATGCTCTGGAGGCATGGATTTTGAAATGGGGTTGTTGTTTACTCATCTCATTATTAATTAGGCTCCATTTCCGTGTTTTTTGTGATTTTACAAAAATTTGAGGCGGCCTGGGGAAATGGTATTATTTGTGACTTGATGAGCAAGAGATACCCATGATTTCCATTAATTTCTTCTGCCTTATTCTTTTTCTTCTCATTTTCATTTTTTTTAAATGGCATCTTTTGATTGTGTCATTGTGTGTACGTTGGACTAAGTACTATATTGCTAATCTTGCATTAACTGCATTTTCGTTGCCGTGCTATAAGTTGTAGTTTGTCTCCTTCACTCACTGTTGATTATTGATTATTTTCACGATGTGTTTTAGTATGCTATATAGTATGGGTGCTTCATTATGTTTATAGCCCTTAAATCTTGTTATAAAATATCAGCCATTGGATTAAAGTTATTAAAAAAAAAATTCACCCGTTGGAATGGTGACCTATTGCATCGGCTCGTTGCATAATAATTAAAAAAAAATTGAAATTCCAGTCGAGTAAAGCGATTGAGATCGTCGAGAGCCTCTCTTCCGCAGTGGGATTTCAGAGTGTCTCTTCCGCGGCGGGGTTGATTGGCGGCGACGACGATGGCAAAACTGCATCTGAATTAGGGCGATGGCGACAGTGAACCTGCATCAAGGGGAATTGCGACGGCGACGCTATGAGAAGAAAGAGATTGGGGGTTTCAAGTTTGATCTTCTGCGGTGGGTCTCTTTGACGATATTGAAGTGGTTGAGCATCGGCGACGGGAGCAGTGAGATTGGGTTTCACGGCGGGTCTCTTCTGATTGTGCTCTTTCGCGGTGGGTCTCTTCGTTAATAGTGAAGGGGTTGATTAGCGGGTCACCGGAGGGAAGAATTTGAACAAGATTCAGAGCTGCTTGATTGAGGGCAAAGTCTGCTCCAAGTTCTCTTCGACGATGGTGAAGGCGGTGAGCATAGGGTGACGGCAAGCGAGTGCGACGAGCAGGGTTTTATGGCGTCTCTAGTCGATAGAGAAGGGGGTGGGCAGGTCGACGGTGAACCAGATTCTGAATTAGGGTTTTCGTAGTGTCTCCTCTCCCGCGATTGTGCTTCGTCACCTCTTTGTGTGCCGCCGGCGCAAACACAGTGGTGGCTCTGAATTAGGTTGACGACGACACTGTAACTAGGAACTGAGCAGGGGATTCATCGAGTCTTCAATTGGTCGCAGCTTTGCTGTGTTTCTTCGTTCAAGCTTTCAGGTAATAAAGATGATTCTCAGATTCTGAATGTTTCTCCATTTCTCACTTCAACTTCGTTTTCCTTCGCCTGCTACATTTCTCTCATTGTCTTACTAAAAGAACCCTAAACTCGGCCCTCATTTGTAGAGACAACTATTCCTTCTTTTTTCATCATTTTAGCTCACTATAAGTTTCAATTATGATTGTTCTTGTACAATGCTTCTGGGGTTCATGGATAGTGTATTAAAGATGATGAATTGGTGATCAACATTAGGGAATTGAAGATTTTCTGTGAGTGTTGGGGTTGTTTGTGTTTTGCGCAACTTGGCCATCGGGTGGGATTTGGAATCTGGAACTGGATAATATTATTTCCCTTTATCCATAAACAAGTTCTAAATACAAGTGGACTTGTCATTTGAAATACTAGTAATTAGCTCTACTTCGACTATTTCCCAGTTGAGTTCTGATGAAATGGATAACTATGCTTTGGGGAAATTTTGGTTCTATGGTCGTCAAACAATTATGAATTTGAGTTGTGTGAGAAAAGTGAGCTCATATTGATAGTTTGGTTGATCGATTTTGGTTTGTAGTTTGAAATGTTGTTTCAGCAGTGGAGTCGTTTGAAGTATTTGTTCAGTGAAAGTGCGAAATGGGTTAATGTGCTGGTGTAACTAGATGTGTAAAAGAAAGGGAGTTCATCTTAGCCAATTTGAATTACTCATAGGTTCTCTTCTTAAAGTCGACTCTCCATTTTAGTTCAATGAACATGCTCTGAAGAATTTGTTGACAACAGTAGGCTTATGATAGAGATGTTGAGTTGATATTTGGATGTGAATAATGATGGCCGTAAAGTCTCCATTAGTACTTAGGTTTTTGGGTATTATGTTGGAATCGAAACCAGACAGTGTAAAAAGAAGATCGTGACTAGCAAGCCAATTGTTAGTTTTGACTTTAACGAAAACTTGTCTTAGTGGTGGTGGATCAAGATGTTTATTTTGTTTAATGTGTGGCTAATCGAATCATGAATCACCATCCTGTATGTATTGGGTTAATTTGTTGATTGTGGAAAGTTTGTGGTTTCTTTTAGAATTGATTATATAGTGTACACAATCGCTTTGAGACTTAGCACAGTTGGTGGAAGGATAAGTAATGTCAAATGGCTGCTTGATTAGTAATTAGCTCTACTTCTATTATCCAATCGATTCATTGACATCATGCAACTCAATTACTACTAAGCAACCAAGAAAGCAAGGGACTAATACACAATTTCATGAGATAAAGTTCAAGTAGAGAAGGTGTTGATATCCCCCTAGCTAGTTGTCATGCATAGACCAAACAAAATTTAGACTCAATGCTCTTTCATTGATCGTAGGAATTCCCAAATTAGGTTCTCCAAGATGCTGAACAGAGTGCCCTGTCGAGCATTTCCCTTGTCAGCTTAATCCCTTGTTGTTTATTTAACCAGGTAAAGTGTTGAGTCTCGGATTCAAGGTCAATTAGCGGATAATGAAAGATGAACTAGGAAAAAAGCAAGCCTGATTTACTTAATGCCCCATCCGTAGTACGTAATGGTTAATACAGTAGGAATCCTTTCTTTCTTCTAGGATGCTTTTGTACTACCACAAGGAACTGCAATATTAGCATCACCTTAATCGTAACCTGTCTATGATTTTGCTGTTTACGTGAGTTGACTTTCACTTTTTGTATTATGTGTAGGGACTTTGATCTGGTAACTCTTTCAGGTACTACACATTGGATTCAGAATTCAATTTCTCTTGTGATAGAGTTGCAATCTCAGTCTTCAATTCCAGGCAAGTTACTGAAATCTTGCCCTTTTAACTTCAGCCGTGAATTGTTATTCAAGATTGTTTGTCTGTGCCTCGTTGCTTTCCACTCGTGACACTTACCCTGATGTTGATTGTGCTTTTGATCAACACAATTTGGACCTACATATTTGGTAGTAGTTGTACTTTGCTGTATGGAAGAGCTACTGTGTGATTGATGGTGTGAATTTATTTGGTACTTTTATGTAATGGATATGCTCATGATTTTTTATTGTTGGTGTTATGTTGCCCAAGTTAGTAGGGATATCAGATGATTTTTTCAATGTCAAAGCTTGTTGAGATTGAATGAGATCAGATCTGAGAAAAGGAAGTATTATGTTTTGCTTATCTCATGAAAAGATGTCATGGCTGTGAAATTTCCAGAATTAGCCGTGAGAATGTTTAGTGGAATCTGGGTGTTTTTAGTTTCACGACTTAGTTTAACGGCCGTGATTTATGAAGCCAAAGCCGTGAGATTGCCTGGGGATATGAAAACTGCTCTTTACTTCTCACGGGGCATGTCACGGCTGTGAGAATTTGAGAATGAACCGTGAGAACTGTTTAATGAAAGCTGGGTGTTTTGGGTGAAATTTATATATGCCAATGGCGGATTTCATGGTTAATTAGTGTACCCAGGTATTGAGGTATGGGTTTTCAATTCTTCTGGTAGTTGGAACTTGATACCGAGGCAAGTGTGCTTGTGAGCTCTGGTATAGTCTTGCATTTTTTCAATATTGATAGAAGCCATATATTGAAAACCATGATTGAACTCATTACCTAGAGAATGTGTTTACCAAATGATTAAATGATCCTTTTCTAGAATGAAACTTTGTCATAACCACGTTCTCTATAATGTGTTTAACTGTGAAAGTTGCTTCTTTATAATTTTGTTGTTTTTTTAATTTTGCAGTTTATTAAAATTGTTCTATAATGAAGACGAAGAGGCATGACCTTTTTAGCACGCGATGTTCTCCGAGGAAAGTATTCTCCCTAGTCTCAAATTTAGAGGCTTGTCAATCAGAGGCCATTAAGAGATGTGGCTTTGGTCGGATTTTTGAAGTCAAAGGAAGAATGTTACAACGTGAGTTGTTGGAGAAACTTTTAAAGAGCTTTAATCTGGAAGAAAGCACAATTAAGGCGTATGGGCTGAAAGTGCATATTTCGGCCAAAGATTTCCAGCGGATTATGGGTGTCCCCGAGGGAGGGACGGATATCGTCTTGGATGGTTAAGAAGTGGTTGGAAGATCCGAGGAAGTGAAAGAATTTAGAGTGTATTCGACTCGTGACTGTGATCGACAGGCAATTTCCACAAGCTTAATGCGAAAGACATTGTTGAAGATAAAAGAGAGCAGCGATCTATTTGTTAAAACTTTTATATTGTACGTAATGGGGGTGCTATTAGTACCTACTAGAAGAGATGACATTTCGTTATCTTCGGTATACGTTGTCACCGATGTTGCGGACATTCCGAAGAAGAATTGTGCATCCTATTGCTTCAATGAATTGGTGAAATGCATCTGCAACCATAATGCTTATGGGGAAAAGTATATAACTGGTTGCTTGCTATTTTTGGAGGTAAATAATTGATTCTCCCTACTTTCTACATATTCGTAATGATTAATCATCATGTTGATTATAGCTTTTTTTGTAGTTAATATTCTTGGAGCATGCAAATGGTATTTTCCACACCATTGATGGAAGTTTGGATTTGATTAGTTGGGGGAGCGGAGACGTAGAGCTATTGTTAACAAAAGTGGTAAGACTGATAGTGCAAATTGGTATATTTGATTCTTTTGACGAATTGGAGCATGCTAATGGTACATTTGTTTCTCTTTTTAATTAATTTATGTTTGAAATCATCTCCAAGGAAATGGGAAAAAAGAGACGGGAAACGACACAAAACCAACAGGGATGAGTTGCTTCTCTGTGAGCGTATTGATGCTCGGTTTAGTACCATGGAAGCTAGATTTGACAACTTCAGTCAAGAATTTAAAGTCGCAATGGGTGATGCTGCTTCTAGAGATGAGGAGCTAATGGGTCGGGTTATGAAAATGAAGAATGAATTTCGGGCATTTAGAGACGAAATTGGTTCTGCAGTGAAGTCAATTATAGAGGCAGTGAAAGCAACTATAGGTGACCCATTGTCAAGGGAGAAGCCTAATGAATTGAAAAAGAACGATCAGAAGGATGCAGCTGATAATGTGAAAGCTTCTGCAGCTGTTTTGTTGTCAACAGAGCAGCTTATCAGAGGGGAAAAGGGCAATCAGAAGGGTGAGGTTGAAAAACCAAGTGAACCCATTTCTCCTACCTCAGAATGTGTCAAGACTCAAGGGTTAGGTGTTAAGAATTGGGGAGAGGCTGAGGGGGAAATTGGAGATGACAGCTGTTCAGAATCTCCTTCTGTCAAAGTTGTGAAAAATTCTCCTTGCAAGCAGGCGAAAGCGTCTAAAGTTGAGAAATTCATACTGTTGAGTGATGAAACTGTTGCTGCTAATGATGGTTGTGACAAGACTGTGAAGGTATTACACTTGATTAAGTTTTCTAATTATTTGTTCTTATGGTGTGGTTACTAATGAACTGGTTTTATTTTTATGTTTTTGAACAATAAAGGGGCAAAAGGGAGGTGGACTACGTAGTGTATCTAAATTGAAGCCTAGTTTGTATGTGGTCTCTCCATTCGAACGGGCAAATCCCAGAGCTAAGAAAGCACAACCTTTGTACCTTGCTCCTCCCTTTTTTGTTAAGACACCATTGACTCTAGCGGCAATAAAGATGATTCAATTTGCTTTTAGTAGTAAGCTTCCCGGAAGGTACCTCCCGAAATCATTACAAGTAAGATTGGATCATATTTGTAGGATGTTTTTGGTATTTGCCTTATTCTAATGTTGTGGTATTTGAACTTGGTCTTGTATAACAGTGACATATTGGTTAGTCTTGATGTCGGGGTTCTTCCCTTGCTCCGTTAAGATTTGGTCCAGCTTTTGCCCCAAGACCAAACTTTCAACAAGGGTGAGTTCTTTTATGTGTGTAATTTAGTAGATTGAACTTGTATTGCTGACTTTGGTATATGTGATGATGATGATGCATTAGATTATAGAAATGGTGTGTCTGTGCAAGACACTAGAAGAACGAAGTTGTGGTTGCAGTGGTGGCTTGTGTTGGTTCTTTCCGCCTTCAGTTTCGGTACAGTTGTCTGCTTGGTCTATTCTTGTCATGAAATTAATCTATTTGTGTGTTACATTTAGCTTGTGTGGGTAACTTCGTTTTATTTTTCTAGGATCGTGCGTATCATTGCAACGAGGAGCAATTTATGGCTACCATGGGTTCATATAAGATACTTGAGCGATACCATATAAATGAGCTACTTTACTGCAGTAAGGTATGTTGTAATGTTGTTTTCTAAAAGGAAGTGGCTTAACCCTCCTATGTTAAATTGTTAATTATTGTTTGTTTGTGCATTATTTCAAATTCATGTCCCAATTTTCAACCTCACTGTGAGCCACTTCTATCTGGCGGTCTTTAACTTGGATACCAAAGAAATTGAAATCTGGGACTCATTACCAGGAACTCATAACCAAGAATATGATGCAAGGATGCAGAAAACTGGTTTGTTGCTTGTCTTGTTCTTCAAGTTTTCAAACTTGACTTATTGCTTAGTTGTTAGTTGTTTTTCATTTGCCGACTTTGTCGTTAAATATCGATGAGGGGGATGTTTTCATTTGCAGAAATTGGGTCTAGACTGGTTGCTTAAGGATGATATCTGCAGGGCATTTTCATTTGTGGACTTTGTGGTTAGATATCGCCAGGATGTTGCTTGCCAACCAAATGGGTACGCTTTGTTGTTGTTCAATTGTGCAATGTTCTAATTAAGTTCGGTAATTATTTGTTCGCATCATGACCATGGTAATTATTTTTTATATTACAGATTTGATTGTGGACTATTTGTCGCCAATTACTTGCTGGATCGATATCGATATTCCAAGAATCTTGACCAGCTCGACAGTGACTATGAACGGGCACAACTTACAATGTACTTGCTCACTACGCATTTGAATGAGGTGCAAGCTATAGTTAAGGCACAATCAGATGAATATTTTGAGAGTCATGCGAGACCTGCCCAAATTGAGACTGAGAAGGTGAATTTCAAGACGAACTTACTCAATCGAGGAAGAAAGCCGTTGCACGCGCATGGGTAGAAAAAGGGTAGAGAGTCTAAGAAGCATTGAGAGTTGTGTTGTTAATGTAGAGTTTAGTTAATGTGGATGTTGAATGAAGTTTAGGAAAATGTAGATGCTGAATGAATTTTAGTGAATGTAGATGCTGAATGAAGTTTAGGAAACTGTTGAAATTACAATGAAGTTATGAATGAAGCATTATTCAGTGATTTTCTCTTTTTTCTATATTATGTTTAATGTGTCGACAAGGAAGAAGTTATGAATGATCATATACCGAAAAATGGATGAAAAATGACCTTATTCACCCTGCCAGCAGGCTATTTCACGGCCTCAATAATCCATTATCACGGCCGTGAGATTGGGCCGTGAGATGGTGATTTCTCTGGCGCCTTAAGGATGGACCTTTCACGCCCGTGAGACTGGGCCGCGAGATGGGTTTTTCCTAACGCCTTAATGATGGAATTTCAAGCCCGTGAGACTTGGCCGTGAGAATGAAGAAAAACATTCCATTTAGTTCAGGGAACCTCACGGTCTTGAAAGGTGTATCTCACACCCATGAGATTGTGGGCGTGAGTTACTGAATAAAAAAGGTCATTTAGAAGGATCGAACCCACGCACTTGGAATAATCATTCAGCGCATTAACCAGTCAAACTACCTAACATGTTTTGTAAAATTCATTGCCTGTTTTCCTTTTACTACATATGGTTGAATGAGCGTTTGATTATCGGTTTTGGGTTCAACCCATGTAATTGTAAATCGATGTGAGATTGAGGTTAGGTATATGGTTGATTGAGTGTTTGATTACGGTTTTTGGGTTGAGCCCATGTAATTGTAAACCGATGTGATATTGGTTGATGATATATGGTTTAGTGAGTTACGGTTTTTGGGTTGAACCCATGTAATTGTAAACCGATGTGAAATTGAGGTTAGATATATGGTTGATTGAGTGTTTGATTACGGTTTTTGGGTTGAACCCATGTAATTGTGAACCGATATGAGATTGGTTGATGATATATGGTTGATTGAGTGTTTGATTACGGTTTTTGGGTTGAACCCATGAAATTGTGAACCGATGTGAGATTGGTTGATGATATATGGTTGATTGAGTGTTTGATTACGGTTTTTGGGTTGAATCCATGTAATTGTGAACCGATGTGAGATTTGTTGATGATATATAGTTTAGTGAGTGTTTGATTACAGTTTTTGGGTTGAACCCATGTAGTTGTGAACCGATGTGAGATTGGTTGATGATATATGGTTGATTGAGTGTTTGATTACGGTTTTTGGGTTGAACCCATGTAATTGTGAACCGATGTGAGATTGGTTGATGATATATGGCTTAATGAGTGTTTAATTACGGTTTTTTTGGGTTGAACCCATGTAATTGTGAACCGATGTGAGATTGGTTGATGATATATGGTTTAGTGAGTGTTTGACTACGGTTTTTGGGTTGAACCCATGTAATTGTGAACCGATGTGAGATTGGTTGATGATATATGGTTGATTGAGTGTTTGATTACGGTTTTTGGGTTGAACCCATGTAATTGTGAACCGATGTGAGATTGGTTGATGATATATGGTTGATTGAGTGTTTGATTATGGTTTTTGGGTTGAACCCATCTAATTGTGTACCGGTGTGAGATTGGTTGATGATATATGGTTTAGTGAGTGTTTGATTACTGTTTTGGTGTTGAACCCGTGTAATTGTGAACCGATGTGAGATTGGTTGATGATATATGGTTTAGTGAGTGTTTGATTATGGTTTTTGGGTTGAATCCATGTAATTGTGAACCAACGTGGGATTGGGTTTATGGTATATGGTTGATTGACGTTTGATTATGGTTTTGGGTTGAACCCATGTACTTGTGAACCTACGTCGGATTGGGTTTACGATATATGGTTGATTGACGTTTCATTATGGTTTTGGGTTGAACCCATGTACTTTATATGGTTGACTAAGCGTATGACTATGGTTTTGGCTTTAACTCATCTAATTATAAACCGATGGGAGATTGATATACGATATATGGTTTAGTGAGTGTTTGATTATGGTTTTGGGTTGAACCCATGTACTTGTGGACCGACGTGAGATTGGTTGAGAGTATATGGTTTTATGAGTGTTTGATTATGGTTTTGGATTGAACCCATGTACTTGTGAACCGACGTGAGATTGGGTTTACGGTATATGGTTGATTTTTGTTTGATTATGGTTTTGGGTTTAACCCATTTAATAATAAACCGATGATTTTTTGGATCAGTCATAATGAAGAAATTCCTTGATCTTAAACCCTCATCGTCGCAAGTAGTAACAGTGATGCCGTTTCTTCCTTCTTGTCATTCGTCGGCGCTAGAGGACTGATCCTCAGTTCCTCCCTGTCGGCTTCTTCCTTTTTGCTTCCCTCCCTCCATCCCAGCCTCAATTCTTAATTGTCGTCCTTCATCGGCTCCTTCTCCACCAATATTACGAAACCAGATTCTTCCTATCTCCCTTCCTTCGTCTTCCCTTCTCTACGCAACCATCGATTTTCCATTCTCCCTTATTCGCCCATCCTTCGCCACCCATCCTTCGCGACGGAGACAGATCGTTTCTAGCCGAGACAGCGACGAGGCAGAGAGAGCAAGTAGGTTTTAATAGGTAAGGGCATGCATGATTTTTCGTGGGGGTTTGAGTTGTTAAGGGTTCTGATTTGGGTTTTCTGTTTTAATATCTGGGTTTAATGGTTCGGTTCAGGGGAAGAGACGGAATTAGTGTCAATAGGAGGGTAAGGAAAGGCTATCGCCGACAGCTCTGAGCTTCGGCGGCGGCAACGCCAATGACCAAGGGGAACTTTCCTTGTGGGTTTTCGGAATTTGAAGTTTAGTACTAGTTGTGTGTTGAGATTACGTCTATTGTGTTTGCGAATTTTGAGAAATCGTGTATGTATAGTTGCGTTTTGAGACTGAAATTATGATGGTTTTGGGGCTGGAAATTGTGTTTCAGTTTAGCTGTGGTTATTGTGCATAGTTTGGTATGTGGAAGTTTGTGGTATGTTATGGTGGGTTCGAAGATTGGGGATTGTGGTGGCTTCAAAGCTGTAAATTGTTGGCAGTAATAGTGTTCATGTATGTTTTTTCAATTTGATTGAAAAGAGGATCGGTTCTGGTTGTCTTCTTTGTTCAATTTGGTGGGTGTTGTGAATTGTGATCTTGCTTGGCTTCATTTCATTTGTGAATGGTTGGTTTTTCGCGGAAGTGAAGGGGAAACTATCGAGCTGGAGATATGAAGTGTCTTAGCTTTCACATTGTGGAAGAACGTGAATCACTGTCATTCGAATTTTGAAGCGTGTGTTTTCTGGTTAGTATTCATGCTCCTGCATATAGCCAGGGAGGCAGAATCATAAGTAATGAGGGGGTGAAAGGGCTGCCTTTTGAGGTTAACATGGGGCTTGGAGGATTCTTAAAGATGCACAGAAACTATGTGGTTTATATGCATATGCCTCTAATATGTTTTTCGTTGCTTGTTAATTGATTAGTGAAGTGTTAGATTCGATCGGTTGTGGGTGGTGAATATGTGGATTTCAATTGTCTTTAAACTTCATTTTGTTGTTTGTTTTCAGTTGATCAACTATGGAAGGGTTGATGGATGATATGAGAACAGGCAAGGACACGGGAATTGACTTGAATGTTGGTTTAGATTGGGGAATGGATTATGGGGATGATACTGGTGGTGTTAGAGATAGTGACGATATGGAGGACAATGTCGACACCAACGATAGTGATTCTGAGGATGATAATAACACTAACATTGGTGATGATGATAAGGAGAACATCTCAGATGAGCATTTGCACAGGTTCGAAACACAACCACACAGCTCAGATGCACCTCCACACAAAGATGCTGCAAATCCAGCCATGGCTCTACCGTACTCGAGTATGTATGACTGGACCCTGCTTTATAAAGTCGAGAATGGGAAGCCATATTCTAAATGGGAGTCGGATGATGTTGTGGGTTTTGAGTTTGAAACCCTTGTGGAGGGTGGCAAGTTCTATTCAACTTATGGTTGTGCCATGGGATTCAGCATACGAAAGAACACTCACACATATTCAAAATATGGAGTTAGAAATATGCAGCGATGGGTTTGCTCACGAGAGGGGGAGCGTCAGCCAGTGCACAATGACAAGGAGAACAGAAAGCGTGAACCTAGGCCTGTAACAAGGCTCCATTGTCCGACTGCTTTCAAAGTCAGTTTGTTGAGGCAATTAACCGATTCAAGGTGAAGCAGTTTGTACCAACACATTTTCATCACTTAGCTGGAGCATATGAAGTGCAGTTTTTGAGTTCTCATCGGAAGGTAGATGACGCAAGTAAGGCTCAGATTCGATTACTTAGGGCTGCTGGTGTTCGCACCAATCAAATCATGGATTATCTAGTGAATTGTACGGGAAGCTTTCAGAACTTGGGTTTCACTAAGACCGATGTCAACAATTTTGTTAGTGCGGATCGGAGGTTGGAGATCTTGGATAGTGATAGTGAAGCTGCACTTGCCTACTTACAAGCACGGGCAACTACCGATCCTCGTTTTTATTGTCGATATACAGTAAGTGATGGTGGTGAACTAGGCAATATGTTATGGGCTGACTCTACTTCACAATTGGATTATAGTCTCTTTGGAGATGTTCTTGTTTTTTACTCGACGTACAAGACTAATGCATATAATCTTCCATTTCTTCTATTCATTGGTGTGAATAATCACAATGCAAGCACTGTTTTTGCATGTGCTTTGCTTGCGGATGAAACGGCGGAGAACTACGTATGGATTCTAAATGCTTTTTTACATTACATGGGTGGTAAGAAGCCAACCGCAGTTATAACAGATGGTTGTTCTTCAATGAGGAAAGCTATCAAGCCAGTTCTCCCTGGATCCCGACATCGGTTATGTTCTTGGCACTTGGGCAATTACGCAGAAGCTCGTGGCCATGCGGAAGCCTTCCGCGAGGATTTCAAACAATGCATGCTAAACTGCAGTTCTATTCCACAATTTGAAGCTACGTGGAAGGGAATTTTGTCCAAGTATGACCTGGAGCACAATGCGTGGATGAAGAAGATGTATAGGCGACGATCTCTATGGGCCAAAACTTACTTGAAAGGTACTTTCTTTACTGGGATGACTACATCACAAAGTTGTGAGAGCATGAACTCTTATCTAGACAAATTCTTGCAAAGTAAGATGAAGTTGTTTGAGTTTGTCAAGCAGTTTGGCATGGCACTTTTGTATAGGAGACAAACTGAGTTACATGACCAGTTTAAGTCAATACATACTGATGTTGTTTTGATGACACATTTACATGAAATTGAAAGACATGACTCTATAGTATATACAAGAAATGTGTTCAGGAGCGTTCGAGCAGAAATAGTGAGAGAAGTTCATTACTATATTATAGACAAGTGTGTGTTGAACAATAAAACAATTTACACATTGTCACGATTCAAATACCCTGACTCAAAGTGCACCATGGTCTTTTACACGAGTGGACATGATGTGCATTGTTATTGTGGCATTTTTTTAGTTTTGCGGAATTCCATGTCGGCATATATTCTGTATATTGAAAGCATAAAATCAAATACAAATTCCAAAGTCACTCATTTTGAAGCGTTGGACTAAAGATGCAAAAGACTTTGATCCCTCGAGTATGGGAAGCTGTCCTACCCAGCAAAATATTAGCAGGTATTATAAATTTAAGCTGCTGATTTAGTTCTTTGTTTACTTCTATTGTGCTTGGAACCAACTATAAAAGTGCTTATTTATTTGGACAGGTTTGGATTCTTGGTTGGTCAATGTAGTAGAATGTGCCATTATGCTGTGATTTCGGATGAAGCATTTCATACTGCCAAAGGGTTGATTGAAGACTTGACCTTGCGAGTGAAGACAATAAGTGAAGAAACAACCAGCAAAATAAATAATGCTACTACGGATGCTGGAGTGAACTCCTCTCAGTTTATTAAGGACCCCCATCCAGTTCGAAGTAAAGGGAATGTGAAGCAACCTCAAGTGAAAACACGGTTGTGCAAGTATTGTAGGCGTCCTAAACATACAATCAGAAATTGTCCGCTGAAAAGAATGGCTGAAGCAGGTGCAAGTGATAGTCATTTCACGCAACAAGAATACAACTTCGAGTCCATAGGAGCAGGTGAAAGCAGCTTTCATGTGGAGACTCAAGAATCTGTTCTACTTCCCAAACGATCCAAGCACAACCTGTAATGATGGTGTTCGGCTTCAAACAACATTATGTTTCATCTTGTAATGTTTGTTTTGTGCAAGTTAGTATCTAGTGACATTGAATGGATCTATGTAATGCTCGTGTCTAGCTTCAAAGAACATTATGACTCATCTTTTCATAAGCTTGTAGTTTTCAAAAACAGTATATTATATTTCTTACACCATTATAATAAGTACAGGGGTTAGTTCTACAGGTGAATGTCTGTGCAGACTATTTCTGGAAATTTCACGGCCAATTCTGGAAATCTCACGGCCGTGAAAGCAGGCGTGTTTTTGGATTTGAAATTCTGGAAATATCACGGCCGTGAGAAAGGCCGTGAGAGAGGCCGTGGATGTAAAAATGCACTTCTCAGTTTCCCAGGGGTTTTCACGGGTTGGCTTCGACAATATCACGGGTGTGAGATTAACCCGTGAGATATTCGCAGCTGAAATCCAAAAACACGCCTCATAACTGAAATCACACGGCCGGGAGATGTACCGTCAGATTTTTTTTTAAAAAAGGGGAAGTTCCAGGGGTTTTCACGGGTTAGAGTTGGCAATATCCCGCCCAGGATAAAAGCCGTGAGATGGAACCCTAAAATTTTAAACTCCCTATTTGAAACTTCCTCTGTTCTACTAGAACCCGACCCCCAACCCTCTGTCTACTTCAACCCCAACCCTTTTCTCCCTCTGTTCTACTTCGACCCCCAACCTTCGCCCTCGCCCTCGCCCTCGATCGCTCGCCCTCGACTCCTCCTAGTAACTACTCCAAGATTCTTCCGCCGCCAACCACTTCCCCACGACTCCTCCTCCTGGTAACTGCTCCAAGGTTCAGCGGCGACGGCGACCATTTCCCCACGAGTCCCTGCCCTCTGTTCCACTTCGATCCCCAAAATGCCTCTGGTGAGTTCTTCTTAACCACAGTGACACTCTTCTCTGGTTTCTTGCATTTTTTAGGGTTTAGTTGCCCAAGGTTTGTCTAAATTAGGGTTTTGAATTCCTAATTGTGATTATATTCCTAATTGTTCTGATCCTACATTGTATGTTACACTAGAACTTACTATCTCCCAAGTTAAAGGCATACATTGTATTCAACACTAGAACTTGTTGGTTCAGCAGCTTCTCAATGCTCTTTGGAATGGTGGGATGACTTCTCCAGAAGGCTTCATGGTTTGTTCTTCTTCTATCTTCACCCCGCAGCAGCCTCCTGAATGTCATTCTACTATTCTTGCAATGCTCTCTCTTTGTTTTTTGGTATTTTCGTATTGCTGACTTAACTATTCTTCATAATGGCAGGAGTGAAAATTGCAGGGTATAGCAACTAGCCAACTACAATCATAAGGCCAAACAGAAGACTTCACTGAGTATTATTCACATTCATAATCTCCACTCTTTATTTGTACTTTCATCTGAAAAAAAACATAAATCTTTTACAAAATAAAGCATATCTGTACAAATTCATTGTGGCTAACCTTTATGCTATGAAATCATCATATTCATCTTAGTTTGACATAGTAATGTGCTACTTGATGAAGGAATTGGTGGTGTAGACATGATTAGAATGCTCTTGGGATCTTCTCTCTTGACCTCACATTGAGTATTCCACCTCGTCGATCTCCAAGGAAGGAAGGAAGGAGAACATATTTTCCAAGCTCGATACTATCCTTGGACAAGGAAGGAAGCAAAGAGATGGAGATCGAAATATAGAGAGAGATTGAAATATAGAGAGATCGAAATACATAGAGAGAAGTTTTGAGTGAGAGGGATGCAATTGGTGAAAGACCCCTGACCAAGGATTGTAGCGAGCTTGGAAAATATGTTCTGTCCGGTATCACCCCAGCTCCAAGGGGAGTTACAATAGTAGAGGATACCTTGGAGATCGACGAGGATGGAATACTCAAAGAGACGTCAAAGGAGAAGTCTGTAAGTCTATATCTTCCAGTATCTTTGTTGAAAACTGGAATGCATACCTTGCAGTGATCATTGACATGGTTATGACTAATCATGATGGTGTAGACGTGATTAGAATGCTCCTGGGATCTTCTCCCTTGATGTCACATTGAGTATTCCACCTCGTCGATCTCCAAGGAAGGAAGGAAGGAGAACATATTTTCCAAGCTCGATACTATCCTTGGACAAGGAAGGAAGCAAAGAGATGAAGATCGAAATATAGAGAGATCAAAATACATAGAGAGAAGTTTTGAGTGGGAGGGATGCAATGGGTGAAAGACCCCTGACCAAGGATTGCATCAAGCTTGGAAAATTTTTTCTGTACGGTATCACCCCAGCTCCAAGGGGAGTTACAATAGTAGAGGATACCTTGGAGATCGACGAGGATGGAATACTCAAAGAGACGTCAAGGGAGAAGTCTGTAAGTCTATATCTTCCAGTATCTTTGTTGAAAACTGGAATGCATACCAGATTCCTTGATTTGTGAATTGCTTATGCTTATGCATAATTCTTTTCCCTCTCATTCACTAAAGACTAAATGTGCTTAGTTGGTTTTTGTAAGAAGGGGGAAAGCTAAACAAAAAACCACACAACCATCAGCCTCACCTGCCAAAGTGAAGGCTCCTTCTCGTCATCGCCGCCAAACCCAACAACGAGACACTCCCCCCAAACGACAACGCAAAAACAACCAAGGACGGGCACGTCAACCATCTCCACCACCACAACTACAAACGGAGGCTCAACTTGGAGGAGGGGGATTGCACGGCTTCCTCCAACTACCCTACAAACATAGGAGGGCTTTGGAGCGCTTCCTTCCCCTCCCATTTGGGCAGCAAAGATGCTTTGATTGGGATATCCTAGAGCGCCTCGGAGCAGCGGACCCTGTTCGCACATGCCTCCATCTCCCGACATGGTGTGAGGTTCTCTCCATCAATGAGGTCATCTATCGAGAGCTTACCATTGAGTTCCTCAACACCCTCTCCATCAAGTATATGTACGAGTTTAACCTCGACAAGCCCGAAGACAACATAACTTTTCGCCTTGGTGGACAGGCGAGATAGATGAGCATCACTGAGTTCACAGAGGCACTGCAGATATACCCACAAGGATTTCTCACTACAGATGGACATGGTTTGATTTCAGTGAAAATATATTCACCAAGAGCACCATTGGTCAATGCTATGTGGAGAACGGTAAAACAAAACTATGTGGCAAAGTCTGA